GGAGGGCAAGGAGAAAACAACACAGACTTACCAGAGCTCATTGTAGCAGAGGGACTTGCCTTTTTCACTTCTGGATTTTGTTTATCTCTGTTTAAAATGAAAGGCAGAAGGCTTATGTTATGTTTCATGTCTGCCCAGATAGCACTGGACATGATGTTGAACATTTATCACAATATCAAGGTAATAGTCACAGCTTCGTCAAAAAATTTAGTTTGAAAACCCAAATGGATTTATGTCAACCACCAGTTACATTTTCTTTCTGATGATTACCGTAAATTAAAGAGTATTTCCACCCAACATAGGTACTACTTTCAGACTTTAAGACTAATCCTAAATATTAAACTGTAAGATACTGATTAAAGCCTAAGAGTCTATATATGGCAAGGTGTAAATCTGGCTAGCTTCCAATATATAAAATGTGCACCACCTTTAAGAAAAAATAAAAAACATCAGTGAGAGTAAAAGCTTTAAGCTAAAACCATCACCTCAGACCACTGCCAGATTTCATGGCAATCTGTTGCTCAGATCAAAGTCAATCTCTCCTTTAAAAGATGCCATAATACAAAAGAGATATATTTGTCAAAATGCATATTAACTACCGCACTAATAATTTCCAGTCCTGCAGTAGTGCTGGTATTTTCAGGATCAGACTCCAGTTAGTGAAACTTTAAAATTAGAAGCTTTAATCCTCCTGGGACCAAAGGCAGTGGAATTACCAACCCAAGATAAAAACTACCAGATGGAGACGAAAAGAGAAAAAAGTCACTTTTCATAGTCATGACAGTCCACGGAGGACAACTGTGGGGCCTATCCATACCCAGTTCCCACTCCTGTGGGGACTCCATACCTTCAGCAAATGAACAGATAACCATGTCACACCACAGATGTTGGTTTGAAGAGTCAAAGAGCAGCATTTCTACAAAATGGGTCTGTGTTTGCCAAGATCTTTCAACTCTGAAGGCCCCAGGTTGAATTACAAACCCTCTAATTTTGTGTTTAAATCTTCCCCCCCACCACCACCACCAAACACTTAGCACTAAAGAGAGTGAGATCAAGTGCAACTCCAGCCAATTAATGGCTTCTGTGACACGAACAGAAACAGGTATCTGAAGCTGCAACATCATGCCTAAACAAAGACCCTAACCTGTGAAGAACAGGGAAAATTTGCCCAGAAAAACAAGAAAATAAAACAAGAGAGTTGGAGATCCTTGTTTTCCTGTTACATGGACTGGAGGCAGGAGTGGGACATTGTAAGAGGTAGAAATTGCCTTCAGGGCATTAAGTTTGTTCTCTTACCTCAAGCATCCCCATTCTTAACTAGTATTTGTTTCATACCAGGCAGAATACAATGAGGATGTTCAACAGATACTCCAAGGGAAAGAAAAGAAAATTCAACATGCAAAGATAGTTGCATCAGTCTAAAATCAGCTGATATCCAGGCTCTCTAGCACGCCACCTTAGCAACAGCTGCCAACCGTTAATTATTTAAGTATTTTCTTCATTAAAATTTCCACATAAGATATACATCACGGGTTGGTGAAGGCCCAGCAGGATGCAGCCTAACTCCAAACTGATCTCAGTAAAACAGTGTGAAGTGGAGGGCACAGTCTAAAACCAGTCAACAACAAAAGCTGAGCCCAACTTAAAGGTGTGCCCATACAGTATCTGCTTTTTGTTTCTACTATTTCATATTAGCAGCAAGTACCCTGAAACAGCAAAAATTGACACAGCCTGTCATTAAGTACACTTAAACAAATGTACTTAATAATAATGGTCTTTCCTGTCTCGGTACGTTTCAGTTACGGAAACTGAGCACAACAGAAAGAAAGAGGCTAACATGACAGGCTATCCAGGCTAAGGAGGGTTGTAAGTAATACAACATCATTCTACACATGGAAAATTGTTATGAGTTAAACTCACTAGATAAATACAAGTCCCTCCACATGGCAGGGAGAAAGCTACAAGAAGGGGCAGTACTGCAGTAAGTCTCAAATCAGCTTTAGCATTAAAGCCTTTCTGAAGCTGAGGTAGTTGCTGGTACCCAGAAGTTCTGACTCGGCACTGACACCCTCCATCGGCTTCACACAAGTCAACAGAAAGTTTCTTCCTCTCCAAGCATCCCCAAAAGACTGCATGCTTTCCTCTGGTATACAAGATAAAAAAGCCAGGGGGAGGTGCAGGTGTGTATACGTAACTGGGTTGGTGTAACTCCAGAAACTCCATTTAAAAGTTGATTTTGAAGAGTTGAGGATCTGTGCACAGATTTGCTGCACACAGGTAGAAATAACTGCTGTTTAGATTGAGTAAATAATGGTAGACTTTGGAATTGAAAACATGCCTCAGTGCCTTTTTGCATCAGGGTTACAGAGTTGTTCTACCTGTCTCCCATATACTTAACCCAAACCACATTCCAAAGTCTTATTAGGCCTATCTTAGCCCTAAGGCTGCTCTTGGGACCAGATACATGGTCCAGCCAGACAGCACATCTGGATCCAGGGCCCCACTATAGCAGAGTGTTGCCCTCTATAACACTTGGGAAGATGTGTGCTGAAAGTCCGAGTGTCCTGAGTGTTTGGATGGTACATCCTTAAACACAGTGGTCCCTGCCAGGTTGGCCAGACAGGCTGTCCGTGGGCTGTGGGAGCAGGTGGATCTGGAAACATTTGCTGCCCCCAGTTCCCTTTGAGAACTTCCTGTAGACACAAACACAACAGCATCTCAGAAGGGAGCAGCTCAAAGGGAACCAAAAATGAGATCCCTCGCGTCAATATTAAAAACAGAGGAACTGGTACTGCAAGATCAGGCAAAATAAATTAAATAAATAATTAAATTATTAAATAAATATCAAACTAAAGCCTCCAAAATCCCCCAGTGTTCAGCCTCAGCTCCCTGCTCCAACCACCTAAGCAGTGTCTCCTTGCCAGACTGGAATTCATGCCTTTCCTGAAATGTGACAGACATAGCAACAAAGGCTTCAAAGCTGCAGACGTGCAAAACACAATGAAAGGTAATGAATTCCTCGGGGCATAAGCCAGCAGCTGTAACCCTGAATGTGCCAATGTCCCCACGTAACATCCACCAAGTCCTTGCCAGTTCGGTCATACTTCTAGATGAACATTTAACGCTTCCTTCCTCCCTTTCACCCCCAGCACATTTCTTCCAAGGCTGCAGCTCCTACCCTACTTGGTGTGGAAAAGAGAGCAGTGCATTTAGAAGCCTATTTAGGAGGAATGCAGATAAGTGGCAACTACTTCTGTACAGCACATCTCTGGATTATCTCACATGCTCTAAACATTCGAGTACTCCCCCTACAATGGCAGGGGGTAACAAACAGCTCATTAATAGTTCTGAGTAAGGACACACGCTTTTAAGTCACTGGTATCTCAGCTAAGAGTTGCAGGCGGTGGTTATTTTTGGTGGTCTAATGTGTATGGGGGGAAAAGTAATTTCCTTTTGTTTCTTCTCTTGTTATTATTGACAGCTCTGATGAGTCACATAAGATTTTAAAACAACTACTAAACATGAGATGAGCATTCAAAATTTATTGGGCAGGTCCCTTACGTTCCCGAGATTTGGACTCCTGCTTTATCTTCTTAGTTCTGTGTTTTTTACATTTTCAAAGTTTTCTCCCTATATCTACAAGACCTTCAAATGTCTTGTGGCTACACTTAAAAGAAAAATAAAATTCTTATTTATATTAGTATAATCTTGACGTTGAGGCTTTTAGAAAAATGGTAAGCTTTCAGACTTAAGGGATGATCAGCAATCGCAAAACTTACTTTTCACCCGGTCAGGTCTCACACATCACTGACAGCATACGTTTGTTTACTCCCTGGCTTGGACCTTTTCTTGCACTGCCATCAGTGTCCCTGATCCAGGTGTCCTGCTCAACCAGCTCTGCCAGCAATGTACAGTCCCAAATCTGGAAAGTGGGGAAAGGGCTGCACTGCAGCCAGTGCCTCCTACCAGGAGGTTCCTCTGCTGAAAGGAACTTGCTGGAAAGCCTGTCTTCTCTGTACTTCTCAGTTTGTATCACATAAAATGTGGCAAGAAAAATAACTAGAATACAGGAGGCAGCTCCAGGTTAACCCAGGCAATCAGCGGTCTTTCCAAGTATCATTACTCTCTTACCCAAAAATACAGACAGAAATCTGTTGCCTGTCATTTTTATCTTAAGGGTTAAAGAACATCCTGTCATTCCTTCAGAAGACATTATGCTCCTAAGAATAAATGTCATAAAAGACTACGAAAAAGCAAGCAGTGCATATAGAAGAATCATACCAATTCTGTACAAGACAATAGCCTCCACACACTCTTCAGCGAGTGTTCAGACTGCAGGAAGGGAGCAGCGAAAGCTCGCTAAATGAAACAAATGGCAGCATAGAACAGGAGCTTGGATATGGTGTGCTTATAAATAATTGAACTTACAACAGTTAAAATAAATAAACATAGCACATTTCATATGCAGTTTTACTGCTTTTCCGTTTTGTGGGTGTTTTTTTTGTTGTTTGTTTGTTTTTTTAATACGATGCATGTTTGTTTCCTTCTTAATGGGACAAATTAAATTATCCTGGGCATATGTGCCAGCTTTTGTGCAATTTAAGTGGGACGTGCCACTCTGAATAATAAAAGTCAAACAGGAAATATAAACTAGGAGATACAGCTGCTTTAAGAACTCAGGGATGTTTTTGAACCAAGTCATCAATTTCAGAGTAAACAAAGTTTATCTGCAACCTGAGTTAACTCTGTTCAAGGTCATCATTTTTGGAGCAGAGGGCAGAAGAGGATCTCCTGGGCCATCAGGCCTACTCCCATGCTATTGCAGGCAAATGTGTCATACAATCCTTAGCAAGAACATTTCACATTCCAGCTTAAAACTGGTAAGGTTTCCTGCCTCCACTGCTCCCCCCTGGAAGCCTGCTCCAGAACTCATTCCTCTTATGGCTTGAATGCTGTTTCTGATTTGCAACCTAAATTTAATGCATGAACAGCTACAGCTAAATTGTTTTGCACCAACACAATTTTTCTGTTTAAGCAGCCCTCCTGCCTTGCGCTCACCCCC